TGGGGGGGCACAGTCTGAGGTTGTGCAGGCCTGGGGGGGCACGGTCTGAGGTTGTGCAGGCCTGAGGGGCAGGGGGGAGATGAAGCCTGAGATTGGGCAGGCTTGGGGTTGGGGGCACAGCCTGAGGTTGTGCTGGTGGTGGAGGGCTCCATCTCTCCCTGCCGTGAGGCTCCTCAGTGCCCTCCTCCCACAGGTGGCCACCCTGATTGACCGCTTCATGATGGGAAGGAGGCAGCTAGACAAAGACACCCTGGACACCCTGACTGCCTTCTACCCCGGGTACCTGTGCTCCCTCAGCCCTGAGCAGCTGGGCTCCGTGCCCCCCAGCCTCATCTGGTGAGTCCCCTGAGCTCTGCACGGCTAGGTGGGCCCATGTGCTGATGCTCATTGTCCATGTGCCCTGTCCCCAGGGCGGTCAGGCCCCAGGACGTCGACACGTGTGGCCCGAGACAGCTAGAGGTCCTCTATCCCAAGGCCCGGCTCGCTTTCCAGAACGTGAATGGGTCCGAATACTTCTCGAAGATCCGGTCCTTCCTGGGTGAGCCAGGGAGCCCCTGGCCAGGGCGGCCATACAACAAGGCGAGGGGCTACAGGCCTCACTCAGGCTGCCAGGGTAACTGGGTGGTCACCCGCTGCTGCCCCGGGGTATGGGTGGCCTTAGAGGCTGTGGGTTCTGACCCCAGCTCAGGGCTCCAGCTACCTCCAGCGTCTCCCACGTCTCAGAGGGTCAGGTGGCCAGGAAAACCCAGGCCTTGGAATCCCTAAGGAAACTGGGAAACCCTGTAATGCAAGTTTCCTGCAGCCTGGGGTCCAGGAGGGGCTGCAGGTATGAGGTGAGGCCTCAGCTGGGGGACTCTCTCCCCATGGGCAGGTGGAGCCCCCGCAGAGGACTTGAAGGTGCTCAGTGAGCGGAATGTGAGCATGGACTTGGCTACGTTCATGAAGCTTCGGACGGAAGCGGTGCTGGTACAGCGGAGGGATGAGGGGCGCGCGCGGAGGAGCCCCGGGGAAGGGGCGCATGGAGGAGGGGCAAGGGTGGGCTGGAGGGGGTGTAAGGCGGGTCCACAGTGGGCGGGGCCACAGGGGGGCGGCTCTGCAGGGGTTGGATCCATGGGGGGGAGGGTGGGGGAAGGGTCCACGGGTGGGGTGGGTCCAAGGGGTGGCGGGGACCATGGGGGCAGATTTACAGGGGGCGGGGCCGCAGGGGGGAGGCACTGCAGGGGTTGGATCCATGGGGGAGGTGAGGGAAGGGTCCACAGGGTGGGGTGGGTTTACAGGGGGTGGGTCCAAGGGGTGGCCCTTGAGTCAGGAGAGGCTGCATTGGGCATCTGTGGGCGGGGCGGTTTGGACACAGGAGACCCTGGCAGCCCTTGGGGCGCTGTGGGAAGGATACCCTTTCTCTGGCAGCCACTGACCGTGGCTGAGGTGCAGAAACTTCTGGGACCCCACGTGGAGGGCCTGAAGGCCGAGGAGCGGCACAGCCCGCTACGGGACTGGATCCTGCGGCAGCGCCAGGACGACCTGGACACGCTGGGGCTGGGGCTGCAGGGCGGCATCCCCAACGGCTACCTAGTCCTGGACCTTGGCGTGCGAGGTGTGTGAGGTAGGTGGGTGGCCTGGGCAGGGCTGGGGGCGTGGAGGGGGGCACTCTGAGGCTCCCCTGTCTCCGCAGAGGCTCTCTCGGGGACGCCTTGCCTGCTAGGACCTGGACCTGTGCTCACCCTCTTGGCTCTGTTCCTGGCCTCCACCCTGGCCTGAGACTTCCACTCCGTTCCTGGCCCCAGCGCCACTGGGGATCCCCACCTGGCTGGTCCCTGTTCCCCACCAGGAGAACTTGGCCTCAGTAAACGGGGATATGCCCCCTGCAGACATACTCTGTGGCCTCTGAGGACTTTGTGTGACCCCGTCAGCATGGCCCCCACCATCAGCCTGGCCCCATCAGCTTGGCTCCTCTCCCTCTGGTCTTTGGCCCCCAGGCCAGGTGGGGGCCCTTGGAGGCCTTCCTGACCCTGTTGCTACTGTGCCGGGGGCCAGGCCAGCACGCAGGGTGGCCCCAGCAGACAGTGGTGGGAGACCTGTGCCCTCGTCCCCACAGGCTGGGCCCTGGCTAGGACATCCCTGTTCCCCCCTGCTTAGGCCCCGAGCACAGACATAGGTGGGAACACCACCCTGGACTTTAATTCACATCCACCATCAAAGTCAGTGGCTCGACGCCCCCGCCCCCCCTCCCCCCTCCCCCCTCCCCTTGCAGGGCCTGGGCGACGTCTTCTGTGGGCAGCCTGGGCCTGTGGATGTGTGTGTGGGAGGCACCTCCTCTAGGCCTGGTCCTCAGTCCAGCTCCCAGGGCCTGGAGGAGGGGATGGGCAGGGTGGCCTAGGAGGTGGGGCTCAAGTCGGTCGGCCTGGCTTAGAGCCTGCCCCTCATCCCAAGTGGGCATCCTGCTGCACCCAGCAGCCCTGTTTTTCCTGCACCTGACCCCTGTGAACCCAGCCACCCCGAGGCAGTGACGTCCACAGAACCCAGGGTACAGGGGCCTGGGGAGCAGTGCGGGGCGGGTCCTGACGTTCCCCAGTGCAGCAGCCACAGGAGGCTGGAGGGCAGGGCCACTGCCAGGGGCAGGTACCCCAGGGGGGTCCACAGGCTGCCTGTAGATGGAACAGGGAGGGCACCGTCAGTGGAGCCAGACAGGCCTGGGCAGCCCCTCCCTCTGGCTGGGGAGGGTGGGGACAGCCAGTGAGAACCCTGCCTGCAGTTGGTCTTCTGGGAACCAACAAGGGTCTCCCAGCTTCCCCACTCCCCTTTCTGCTGCTCCGTGTTTTCGGGAGGCAGCTGCGTCTCTAAGTAACTCTGTGGGCAAACGAAGGGTGATGCCATGGTCCACCAGCGTCATCCCAGGGGACACTGGACAAAGCAGGTGCACGGCGTGTGGCTGTGAGGCAGGGAATGGGGTCTGAGGGCCCTGGGCAGCGGGGGCCGAGCCGGAGGAGTGCGGGGCCCATACCTGAGGTGGAGGCCTGGGCAGCGTTCCCAGGCAGGCCTGAGGTGTGGGCCAGATGGGGCGCCTGGGGCGTGGTGCTGGGGAGCCCGCTGGTGGCGTGGGCTGAGCCGGTGGGGCCAGCGTGCTCAGTGTCCAGGCCCAGCTGGCCTAGGGCAGAGCTACTGAGGCTGCGGAGCCAGGACCTGACGGCGGGGTGGCTGCGTGCCTTCTGCAGGTCCCCCACATTGGGACCCAGCAGCGCGATCACGGTGCTGACATCCAGGCTCTATGGGGAGGGGCGGAGTTGGAGGGTCCATGGGGCACCTCCCGGGCCAGGGGTAGACCCACAGCCCCAAGATAGGGCAGATAGTGGGAGTAAGGCCCAGAAACGGCCTGGGGCGAGGCTGTGGGGGTGTGCCGGCCGTGACCCGTGGCCTAGGGCTACTCCGCCTGGGCCAGCCCTGACCCCCACCCCCATGGGGCAACGTGGCCCCACCTGCAGCACACGGGGGTTCAGGCCGGTGAAGGTGTCGATGTCCATGGAGATGTTGGCCTGGGCCAGCTGCCGCAGCTCCTCCGCCGGTGCGCCGCCTACAGGACGGGGGTGAGCAGGGGCGGGGCTTTTGGGGGGGGTGCCCGCCCACCACCAGGGCTCACCGAGGTAGGGGCGCATGAGGCGGTAGTAGGCTGCCGGGGTCCTGCTGCTGCCGAAGGCCTCCTGGGCCTTGGTGTAGAGTACGTCCTTCCGGCTCTGGGGGCAGGAGGAGACGTCCAGGGCCCCGGCCAGCCTGTGGGAGGCGGGCGGCTGGAGTGGGCCACCGGCCCCCACCCTTCCAACAGCTGGGCATGGCCCTCCCTTCCGAAATACAGCTGTCCTCTCACCCTCTGTCCTGGGGTGAACAGGGTTCCCCCGAATTCACATCCACCCAGAACCTTGCTGGGAAACAGTCTTGAAGGTGGTGTAAGATGAGGTCAGACTGGATTACCTGGGCCCGAATGGGGTCCTCATAAGAACAGGGAGATCTGAGGGCCAGGGCAGGGCTCTCACCTGGAATCCTAGGACTTTGGGAGGCTGAGGCGGGCGAATCACCTGAGGTCAGGAGTTCGAGACCAGCCTGGCCAACATGGTGAAACCCTGTCTCTACTAAAAATATAAAAATTAGCTGGACATGGTGGCTACTCCTCCCAGCTACTTGGGAGGCTGGGGTGGGAGGAGTCCTTGAACCCAGGGGGCAGAGGTTGCAGAGAGGTGAGATTGCGCCACTGCACTCCAGCCTGGGTGACACAGTGAGACTCTTGCCTCAAAAAAAAAAAAAAAAAGAAATGAAGTCACCCAGTTTGTGTACTTTGCTTGAAGCTAGAGTCCAGCCCAGGCACCCCTGATGGTCTGGCTGGACGGCCCTCCCTGCCCTGTTTCCCCTCATGGTCCTCCTGGGCCTGAGGTGGTGGGGGGTGGGGGCTGGCTCACCGGAGCTCCTGGGGAGGGATGGTCTGGATCTGCTGAGGACTCATCCAGCACAGGCGGGCACCCCCGATGGCCAGCAGCAAGGCGCTGGAGACTGTGCCATTGTGATCCAGAAACTTCTGCAGCACGGCCTGGGGGCAGGGGCAGGGCCAGTGGGGCTGACTGGGGCTCAGGCCACCCGCCTGCCCACCCACCCGCCCAGGTGCCCTCACCGAGGTCTGGTTCTCCAGGGCCACGTCTGAGGCCAGCAGAGCCACGACCGTGTCCCTGGAGGTGATGTTCCACTGGCCAATCTCCGCGCCTGAGTACAGGTAGACCAGCGAGGTGATGAGCCGCAGCTGGGCCTCCGGGAGGCCTCCAGGGTAGATCTGAGCAGGGGGCGGGGCTGGGCAGGGTCAGCCGCGGCCCAACGCCTGCGGCCTCCCCGTCCCTGCACCCGGCCGTGCACCTGTGTGAGCTTGGCTTTGACCACGCGCTGGCACTCGGCGGGGAGCGGGTGCTGCAGCAGGGGGTCCAGGTTGGCTGTGAGGACGCGGCTGTCCAGGCAGGACTCGAGCTGCCCACAGTCATAGTGCACCAGGAAGAGGTCGTCCTGCAGCGTGGCAGCTGTGATGTGGCCTCGGACGCAGGCTCTCCCTGGGGGTGCGTGGGGCCCTGGCTGGTCACTGGGGCTGGGCCAACCGCCACGGCCAGCTTCGGGTCCCGTCATTTTTTTTTTTTTTTTTTTTTTTTTTTTTTTTTTTGAGATGGAGTCTTGCTCTGTCGCCCAGGCTAGAGTGCAGTGGTGCGATCTCGGCTCACTGCAACCTCCACCTCCCGAGTTCAAGCGATTCTCCTGCCTCAGCCTCCCAAGCAGCTGGGATTACGTGCACCTGCCACTACACCCAGCTAATTTTTGTATTTTTGGTAGAGATGAGGTTTTGTCATGTTGGCCAGGCTGGTCTTGAACTCCTGACCACAGGTCATTCAGTGATTCACCCACCTCAGCCTCCCAAAGTGTGCGGGGATTACAGGAATGAGCCACCACGCGCCGCCTTTTTTTTTGAGACGGAGTCTTGCTCTGTTGTCCAGGCTGGAGTGCAGTGGTGCAGTCTCGGCTGACTGCAATCTCTGCTTCATGGGTTCAAGCGATTCTCCCGCCTCAGCCTCCCAACTAGCTGGGATTACAGGCACCTGCCATGATGCCCGGCTAATTTTTGTATTTTTAGTAGAGACGGGGTTTCGCCATGTTGGCCAGGCAGGTCTTGAACTCCAGACCTCAAGTGATTCGCCTGCCTTGGCTTCCCAAAGTGCTGGGATTACACAGCCACCGTGCCTGGCCCAGGGTCCCTCTTTGACGCCTTCCTCCACATGTGACCTTGGTCAGACCTTGCCTCTCCCTGACTTCTAACCAAGAACTTGGCCCAAACCACTTCTCTGAAGTTAGCCAGGCCTGAGGGAGGAGCCGGACTGGGGATAAGCAGCATCCAGGCCACAGGGGCCATACTGACCTGTGCGGAGCCTATGCCCGGAGGATACCGGTTTGGCCTTGGACTCCAGGAAGCTGGAGACGAAGCGCCTGGCCTCGTGCCGGCTGAGCCTCCCCGTCCGGCACGCAGCCACCACACTGTGGAAGAAGCCCAGGCCCACGGCCTGACAGGGGAGGTGTGGGCTGAGGTGGGTGGCCTGGGCCCTGGTGCCACTGCCTGCTTGCGCCCACCCCAGGGACCTGTCCTACCTCCTGCACCTGCGCCCACAGGTGGGGGCTGATGTAAGTAGCCAGGGGGCCTAGGGCCTGCAGCTTCTCCACCGTCCAGGAGCCAGGGGGCCTGGTGCACAGAAAGGGGTGCTGTGTTGGGTCCAGGGTGAGGCCCCAGCCCCCGGGAGCCCCCAGCCCCCGGGAGCCCCTCGTTCTTCATGGACACCCAGCATGCAGGAGGAGCACCCAGTAGGTGCTTGACCACCCCGCCCCCTGACTGGCACCTACAGGAAGTGCACAGGGCCTGCTGGGATGCTCCTGCCACAGCTGGGTGGCAGCACCCCAACCCTCTGCCCCCTTGGCTGCAGGACCCGGCTGAGGCCAGAAGTCGCAAGTTAAATGGGCTGTGGACATCAGTGACCTCCTGGGCCCAACCCGAGGCTGCCTCCCATCTCTCCCCCCTCTCCTGCCTGGCCCTGTGACCCCACCCACCCGAGCTGGGTCCTCCCGCCAGCCAGCAGGGAGTTGAGGGCAGTGCGCTGGTCGGCAGTCAGCTGGGGGCAACACTGCAGGTTCTCCAGCACATGGGGATCTGCTGTGGCGATGCTGGATGCGTCCATGTCACACACCAGGACCCCGAGCAGCTGCAGGTCAGAGGCTCTGAGCCGAGGGAGGGGCCCCGCCTGCGGGGCCAGCAGGTCAGCACCCAGCAGGATGCCACCTCCAATGCACCTGGCCCACCCCGCCCACGTGCCACCAAGCAGGCCACCCCACCCAGCACCCACTACGCAGGCCACAGCCACCACCCCCACGTGCCTCGGCCCATCCTGCCCAGCACCCACCAAGCAGGCCACAGCTGCCCCCATGTGCCTCGGCCCACTCCACCCAGGCACCCACCAGGCAGGCCATGGCCACCCCCACACATCCCAGCCCACCCCGCCCAGCACCCACCAGGCAGGCCACGGCCACCCCCACGCATCCCAGCCCACCCCGCCCAGCACCCACCAGGCAGGCCACGGCCACCCCCA